TGGTGCATTTTGTGTATGTTGCTGTGAGACAGAAAATACAAGAGCACATCTTTGCACAACGATTGCAATAACAGATGAATAAACATGCAACCTGACACCCCACATCTGCTATTTCATCACTCTAAATACCTTATGCACATTCAAATATATTTAATAGAGTGGAAACTTTATAAGGTAGTAATATCTTTATAGAAGCAGTAACTGTTTTGGAAACTTTCAAATTAAAAGCAAAAATAAAAAATAACTGTTAACAAGTTAGTATTGTTTCATTAAGCTATTCACCTAATAGTTTCCTGATAAACACCTAGACAGAGGAAGGGAAGGGTATTGACCTACAATGCCACATAAGTCTTATAGAATCAGGCTTTGTGCTGGTGTATTAGCTGTGAGAAGTTCCATTTGAAGTTCCATTAATATTAGTATGGTGCTTTGGAGATGAAAAGTGCTATTATGAATCTTGCAATATTCTATTTGCCTAGGCAGAGTATTTTTATTTCGATGAGTGAATAAAATACCATTAGTTTTTTCATTACCAACCCAGTAAGGACAGACCCATAGCTTTTGTGCCTGGACTACAACATTTATATAACAGTTTTGCAAGGTTGCAATATACTCTTACACCTTTACATTGGGCTTATTAATCTTTATAGAATATGTAAACAGCTTTGTTACATTTTTCATAAAACTATTAATAAATTTGTCCAGTAGCTTTGTTTCCTACACAGATACATTTGCTTCATCACTCAAGATCTTTTTACAGGATAATTGATTTTTTTTTTATTTAAAAGATTAAATATCAAACTATTTTCCCTATTAGATACAATAGCCGTCTTTGCTATCTTGAGGATAAGTTAATAATATTGTTAGTAAAGTATCTGCATGTCTACAGGCATTATCACACTTAATGACTATTCTGAATTACTTTTATATCATCCCCAAAGTGCTACCAAAGATATCTCTTAATATAGCTACATTTTAGATGAATGAAAACAAACACACTGGATCAAATTAATTCCCGTTGTAATGCCACTGACTTCAGGGTTGTTACACCAGGGATGAATTAGAGTTGCATTTCACTGCAGAATCTCTGCAGCCTTCATTCTTCTAATCTTTCCATAACAGTCTTTGCAGGAACAGAGACAAGTGCAGGCAAGTATTCTGCCAATAAGTGAGTTAACAGGAATCGCTACGAGTAACTAAACTGTCAACTGAAAAAGACCAACAATTTGAACTAAGTACAAACACAGCCAATGCGCTGTAATGGATTATGGGTTTTATAGAGTTTTAGACCATAAAGATACAAATTCATGACTGTTTATTTATGGGAGGGGAAATAAGTCCTGCAGTGTCACACTTCCTATTTATAAATAGTATTTGTATTTTGTCAATAGTTTTCTTAATGCAATGAAAGACAAAAACAAAAAATCCCTCACACACCAAAGGCCTTGCATGGCAAATTTGAGTAATGTGGGTATAAGAGTAGCCTATTTCTTCAAAAAGTGAGCAGCAGGTGCTCAGCAATTTTCAGGATGAGGTCCTCCATCCTGGATCAAACTTTCATATTCACTTCCATTTTCCAACCATAGTCACTCCTTTATTAGTAACAACAATAAAACCATCATTGAGGGGGAAAAGATGGAACTATGGGTGGCACTGTTCTGCAGAAACCATCTTCTCTATTCATTTGGCCATTACTGGCCACTTTCTTTCTTTTAGGAATTTCCTAACCAATATTCCTGGCATGAATACTAGCCTAAAATAGGTAAGTATCTTTGGTTTTTACCCAATTATTTCCCTGAGTCAAAGTTCAGAGTTTCTGAATGCTTTGTTGTATGGTTTCCATGATGGAGTGGGGGGCCATAAAGCAGCTAAGAGAAGGCCAAGGCACAACAGAAGACATCACTGTTTCCTTGCATCTCACATTTCTTTTCTCCATGGATCCGCCACATAGTTCTCAAATCCTTCTTCTTTGTGGGGTGCAATGCCCAGAAAAGTTCTCTGATCCTCTTGACACAGTCCCATGGGTTACTTTTCATAGGAGAGCTGGAGTCGAGGGAGAATGACCTGGGCCGAAGAGAAAATGGCACGGCTTTGTCCCACTCCTTCAAAAAATCATCACAAAAGTGTGGAAGAACAGCTGAAGAAAAGCAAACCACATTCACAAAACACAGAAGCCAGGGATATCCCTCAATGCCAGAGGTAGAATTGACACAGCAGCCCACATTTCCTTCTTCAGAGAGGACAACCCACACACATCTTCACTGCGGAGATGGGATTTACAAAAACTCCAGTAGTGCCTACACACCCTTGAAGTCAAAAGAAGTAAGTGAGGAACTCACAGCCAACCAAATTCATGAGCTCTGCTCCTAAGGACTGCTCAAGATAATCACAAAAAAAGAGTCATGAAGGAATTCTGCCTTCTGCTGAAACTAAAATGTCTTATTAAATCTACAGTGGAGACTGTTTAAAAACCTTTCACAGGAACAGATTCATCCCTTCTTCAAAATATCCCTTTTTTGAAAAGGAAAAATCACAATTGCCCTAACTTGAGCCCATCAGAGAGAGATCATTACATTTGTCTTTCTGGAAAATCATATTTATTCTAGTGTCTATATTTAAAGGTAATTTCAGTCGGAAAATGAAATGGTGCTATCTTGACCTTTTGTCTTGCATGGTTCATGAATTACTGACACATTGACAAAATGCCCCAACCCTGCGGAAGCTTTGAAATATCGTAATGTCTTTCTCGTAAGAGAAATAAACTTGGTATGCCACTAAAAGGCATTAAATTATTTTCATTCTGCCACACAGAATCTAAAACACTTATGCTGTTTTGATTTCAAAATCCTTGGAGAACAATTATGCTCTTAGGACCATAAGACTCTATTATAAAGTCCTCAGAAACCTAGCATGACTTCAATAAATCCTCAAAACACTACAAAGCAGTTACTCAGCTTGAAGAATGAAAACATGAGTTCATCCACGAAAAAGTCAGGATGTAAATACTACTCATACAGCATTTTGCATTTCCTAACATATTTCTTCTTCAAAATTATGGCAACATTTTAAATCAAAGTTGCAATATCATATATGTACTTAATTTTCATATCAAATTAATATTAAAACATTTTATTTGGGGCTTGTAATTATATTCAAAATAAGAGTTCTGTATTGTATATAATGACATAGATGCGGCAGATATGGTTTAAGGCATTTATTGTCAATTAACTATGCATATTTATTGCATAGATAGTGTTCTATAAATATATATATATATATTTAGGATTCAGTACAATTGTCTTATTAAACCTACAGTAGGAGATTGTTAAAAAGTAAAATCCTTACATGTACAAATGTGAGTTTTCATTAAAACACAAAAATTCACATTACAAATACATTACTTCCTGCAGAAGGGGATCTAAAAAGAAAAAAATACATTTCAGAAGTCATTACTGTAAATTACCTATGGATTATGAGACTCTGACTTAAAAAATTGAGTCAACATTATTTTTGGCAGATAAGAACGTCCATGTATAAGTACAGTCTTTCACTAGAAATATATAATAAACATGTTTGCAAGTATATCTCTAAGTCATTCCAGAAAAAGCACAAACTATTAATTAAACTAATTTTTCATCCTTTTTTAAAGAGTAATAACAAAAATATTTCAATCAAAATAGAGAGAAATTAAAGGGGAAGGGAGAACAACGGGAGAAAGAAAAAAAACTATATTCTCAGATATTAAAAAAAAAAAATCAATCCAGCTGGAAAACAGGGCCTAGAAACTTTCTGCCAACAGCAGCTGAGAAGCTTCATCACAAGTCTATTTTTCCAGACATTATGTTTCATTTGGCTGCAAGGGTCACATGACAGCTGCAAACTAACGCCTTAAGGTTTGTTTCTGCCTCGCTGTGACACTGACAGGCTGTGAGAGACTCCCAACACCACAGAAAGACATTTTTTTCCTTGTTTCCATTACATCATCCAACCAGTACTGGGGGAGGGGGCACAGCTGGTGGCAGCTGCAGTACCATCTGCTTTCTCCTTACAGTGCCTGCTAGTTTGCTCCGTAGGTTCCTACTGATATTGACGGAGAAGGCACTTTGTTAAAGACACAACATGCCATTATGTGACATATATTTACAATTATTTAGGAACAAATTACTCTAAAGATCAGGAAAGCTGCATCAATGCATCAGGTAGACTCCTGATCATTTTTAATCATAACAGTACAAAACCACAAATACCAAAACACTCCATGATTAATAGAATCAAAGTGTACAGGAACAACCCACCATCTGCCTTTTACAACATGAACAGCCAAAACTAAAACTCTACAGTCAGCAATATTTACAAAAGTTTAAAAATAAAAAAAAAAGAGGCCAACCTAAGTCTCCAAAGTCAGAGATTAGCTGGAGTAAACTGGAAAGACAAAACTAAACAACATTGGGATAATATGTATGCGTAGGTGTCTGTATTGGTAAATGGACTCAGAACAACATATAATTTAGTAGTTCACAAAGAGAAAAAAAACCTTGCATCACTCACTGAGAGGACTGTGAAAGTGACAAGAACTTTATCACTTCTTTATTAAAGTGCTATACATTTTATTGTGCAATCACTGTATTTCCAGATGATGGTTCAAGTTGATTTTATTTTACTGCACTGTTTATTGAAAAATGAAGAGTGCTTACATATTCTTTATGCACAAGGAGTCACACATTTAAAAACCTTCTTTTAAAAATACTTATTCAGCCACATTGTAGATACAGCTGCAGAATTGTAAATTTAATGATTGTATCTTTTCTACCAATCACTAGCTAAGGTCTGGAGAGGTCTGGTAACTGAATGCTCTGGAACTCCGTTAACTTCATCAGAGTTCTATCTGTTTTACACTGGCGTATCTGGAGATAAGTATCTAGTCTTTTGTCTAGATACAGGTTTGGCTGTGTGCATCTCATCAGACAATTATTTCAAAAGGTTAAATTTGCACTACTTACCATACATTTTGCCTTCATCTGATAAGATGATTTTCCTCCTCCCACATGGTGGATAGATAGCTAGAGCCTCCTGAAAGCTCTGTTCAATGTCAGGGCTCCAGACACCTTCTGCATCATTGTCAATAGGTTTATCTGCAGAATCACTCATTCTTTCAATGTCTTCGGCAGGGCTTTCGCTGCCGCTCCAGCTGCTGGGCTCAATGATGGTGGCTGGGGTCTCCAAGCCTAAGCCTGGAGTCTTAAAGAAAATAAACCTAAAAAACAAACAACAAAAGATATTAAAGATATGGAACTTAACATGAACATTCCTTGGCTACTCCCAACTCTAAAGTAACTTGCACAGAGTTTGCCAGCAATGGGCACAATGTGAAAGTGCTATTGTGATTAATGAGTTTGTAAAAACCCAATAAAAAGTAAAATACAAACACAATTCCATCCCGAAACATCTGCAGAATGAGTGTCTTGAAACAAAAGCCATTAGCCACACTTCACTTTTTCTGCACCACTACATGTAGGAATAGGGTATCAAGTTACTTTTTAAACATAGTATAACTTGGTGAATACCTAATACTAGAAAAAAAAATCAGTTGAATGTAATATATTCAATTTGGATTTTCACTGGAAGCCTTAAAATAATGGGGCAGATCTTCAGTTGGTACAAATTCGTGTCTCTCTACCAACTTCAATGGAAGTACACTGGTTTACCCCAACGAGGATCCAGCCCATTAAATCTAAAAAGAAACATGTTAAATAAAATAAAACAAATTTATCCCAGATATCAATGGAGTTAGTAGAACTGCACCAGGGATGAAATCAGCCCAGTATGGTTAACCGGGAAATATTGAGATGTTTAGATCTTACCAAATGAATAACACAGAGTCTGAACTATACATAAGGTGAAATCTTTAAAATAATAATACCAAAGAAAGGAATAACTACAGAAGATATTACACATTTAATCTATGTTTTAAAAAGCCATGGAAATACATCAGAACAAAAATTACAAGCTTCAAGTTGCTGAATCAATTTTATAAGAAATAATTCAATATAGCAGCACCTGCTAACACCACTACAGCTACAGATCTGTCAGTGTACCTTTTATATTTTTGAGAGAAATACAACTCTGCTATAAAGGTTTGCTTCAGGCTAAAATCTGCAATACCTGACTAAATTCATCTCTGGTGTAACTCTTTAGAAGGCAATTATGCAACACCAGGAATGAATTTGGCTCCACATGTCTAGGCATACCACATTTTTATTAAGGAAAAAAAGACATTTGGTGACTTTCGTTATATAAATAGGAAGGGAATTTAAAAAAACGAAATTAAATGAAACCAAACCTCTCTTAACTTCCAAACTCATTTATGTGACTTATTTTGAAATGAAGGACCATGATGTGCCTTCTCCACATGAAAGTGGAGAGAAGGGAAATCAGACACCTCTACAGTACAATTCTAGTTCCCACAAACCCTTCTGCAGGCTAATCGCAGATGAGGAGTATGGCAGGCTAAGCAACATTCATCTTCCCGCATGCATCCCACAAAAACAGCAGGGGAAAGTCAGTATAACCAGAGGCTTTAGCAGCTTTCCTGAGGACACCCCTCCATTTTGAGGAACTCCCTTACAGAGGTGCTACTGACAGCAAGCACGGTTTGGGGAGTGTCAATCTGTAGGACCCAATCCGGCGAGAGGTGGATGATGCCTTGGAAAAATGTGGAGTCAAAACTAGAAGTGGTCCCTCTATCCCACATTAAATGGCTGGATTTTCAAAGGTACTGAGCATCTGCAACTTCCTCTGATTCCAGCGAGAACTGAGGTTGCTCAGGACACCTCTAAGGATCAAGCCACAAGAAAAATTTTCCACACCCATGTTCTTTTCTACCTGAAGGCCTTATTTAGCCCCATATTGGTTTTAAAAATTTCATCACAACATCAAAAATGTTCGTAACTGCCTACCATTAATATCAGGATTAATCTGTGCCTAGAAAATCTTTTAATTAAGCAGTATTACAGGCAAAGCAGGCAGCAACGCAGAGGTTAGTAGCCAACTGAAAACAGTTTACTGCACAGCAGCGGCATGTGAGAGTGGAAACTTCAGCTAACAATACCAGGGCAAAAACCTACTCTCAGAAAAAGTACTATGGGATCTTTGTCATCCACAGAAAAGAGACGGTGCCTTGATTTTTATATGACATCCAAAAGAGAAAGAAACACGAACACCTCAGAAGGTTGATGCGCTGGTTTTACCCCAACAGGACTCACACTTTGTGCTCAAATCACTGAACTATTCCCTATATCAGCAACATCTACACAAAAGTATTAGGCAAGAAGTGAAGAAAAACCCAGCTGGAATTCCTACTACGTGGGGAATTTTAGGTAAGTGAGAGTAATCATATTCTAATTAGGGTAATGACATTCTACTAAGGACAAGAGTTTTATTAACACGGCTCTTGCAATAAATAAATAAATAAATAAATTACATCAGATCCTTGATGGCCTCTAGCGATCAAGCTCTCAGGTTTATATTTCATCCGAAGAAGTGAGCACCTCCAGCAGCACAGCCCTAATGACATACTGGGGCATTTCTTCACTATAGATGCAGAGGGGACGCATGCCAACTCCTCGAGCACCAATGCCATTTCCTGAAGCATGCAGGCGAGCCACTTAGGTCTCCCATTCTAGTTCAACTGTGCTCTACTTATAAACTCTGCCAGGATTATAGCCCAAAATCTTGAGCACTCCCATATAAAAGTGATTCTGAAGAAACATCTAGGAAAACATTATGTAGGCTCCAAAGTAATTAATGTTATTTGTTATTCATGTTGGACCTCACATTGTGTATAATGATGATATTTCAACTGACTTTCTGTCTCCCTTTCCCATCCCTTCCTACCTACTTGATCATCTTCAGGTAAAACTACAGCTTCTACAAATCAATGTTTAGCAGCCTCTAAAGCGTAGGACAAGCATGTGTTTCTTGTCAAATGTCAGTATGGTGGGGGAGGGGAGCAATCGGTTGGAAATAAGCTCTCATATACTGAGGGAAGCTTTTAGTGAATTCCATTTTTGTGAATGCTGACACTGCAGATCAAGCCAGCAGACACAGAGGGGGAAAAAAACAACTTGTATCCCAACTAGTAAATGACTCCCTCTTATTTCAAGAGAATAATGAACTACTCAGTTAAGTCACTTCCATCTCTACACAATGTATAAAAAGGCCATTTTACTTCATATTATAGTTTGAATTCTAAGGCCTCAACCATGATGAAATAATTCAGTGTTAATGTTCTAGAGTTCAAAGTGACTATGTGAGGGATCACAATTTATTTGCCATTAGACAAGCTACACTACACACTTATTAGGTGCTGTAAAACTAATTAAAAAATTGGAATTTTGCGCCAATTCCTGTGAAAAACATATTCCGTTCATGCACTTCTTTGATATGTGTAAATTTCAATGCTCAAAGTAACACCTTTCTATGCAAGAGGATTTAATTAACTGGAAACAGCAAGAAAAAAAAAAGAAGATATACATGTGTACGCTCACG